TAAGTCTAGGCAGCGCTTCTAAAAGAGGAGATATGTAGCTATTCATACCTATGACCACTACTAGTGGTCTAGAATGAGGCCATTCTAGATGTACTTCCAAGTCACATGAATGCAGTTTTCTCAGACCAGACAGCCCTTCAGACAACCTACCTGTTAACTACAGAGACAGGAGCAAGCCCAGCAGAGGTCACTCAAACCCGGTCCCAGTAAGCAGAAACACTCAGCTGCCCCACGGTCTAGTGAGTTAAAGAAGTTTTTGGTATTCTCTGTGCGGCCTTGTGCACAGGGTCTTGTGCATTCTAGATAAGCATTCAACCCCTAAGCTGTCTCCCACCCCCCATGTTTGGTTTTTCCAGCAGCTTGATTTGATGAGTTTGCTCTGCAAGAACAGTTGCATATAGTTAGCGAGTAGCGGAGGATTCGGGGACTTGTGCAGTAACCATTTTTACTTTAGCGTCCGTGAAGTTCTTTAGCTCCTGTGCATGCTGGACTGGAATGATGCAACCATTGCTTTCCTAAGAGCTGTGCATACATTAGGTGATAGGGCAGGATGGCTTCAGATTCCAGCTTAGTTAGCTTGGGCATGTTAACTTCTCAAATGTCAGCGTCTTCATATGCTGGCTGCAAAAAGCAACATCTACCTTACAGATAGCGGGAGCTTAAAGTGAGATAACACATCAAAACATGTAGAGTTTATGCAGCTGTGAGACTGCGTGGTAACAAGCAGTTTCCTTTCCAAGGTTGACACCCACATCACTGACATTTTCAGGAATGGGTTTTTCTTCTACTCAAAGACAGTGACTTTTTGTGTCTTGTATTCTTCAGATGGTTCTGCAAGAACACAGAAACTTCTGTTAATCATGAACATTTAGACGAATATTTGTTTTATTATTATTATTTTATGTGTATGAATGTTTTGCATGCATGTATATCTGCATACCATGTGTATGCCTGGTGCCTGTGGAGGCCAGAAGAAGGTATCAGATCCCCTTAATCTGGAGTCACAATGGTTTTGAGCCTCCATATGGGTGCTCTTAATGACTGAGTTATCTCTCTAGCACCTAGACCGATACTTACTAATATGACACCTTAGTTCACTTATACAGAGGTTACCACAGCTGCATGTTAAAAGCAACTTCGAAACCTCATCTGAAACCTACTAAATTTGCATTTTGTACCAGGAGTGGGGTGGGTATGATCTCCTATTTCTAAGTAAAGTGTCCTAGTCCTATTTATGCGTACTAAAACTTAAGGACTGCTACTTGGTATCTTCTGCTAAGACTTTGAAACAGTGAATCATTGTGTTTCCTAGCTCACTGTGGTACTTCCTAATTCTATTGTTTCCCTAAGGTTATCTGTGTCTTAAGCTTTTAAAATTTTGTTTCTTCTTAAGACAGGGTCCAGGCTGACCTGGGAGCTTTTATGCTGTAGACCAGGCTGGAATCACAGGCATGAGCTACCATGCCCAGTTCTAAGATGTTAGACAAAAACAAAAACCAAACAAACAAAACAAAAACCACTGTAGGAAGACAGGAAGAAATCTTAAGCTTAACTCCTGACCTTTAATTATCAGTGGGCCAAGGAAAGAGATTTAACACTATATTAAATGATATGAAGTATATTTTGTTTTTTCGCTAGTCATACATATTTACACAGACTTTTTATTTTAAAGTTACTGTTTTTCAAACCAGTGTGTAGCACACACCTTTAATCTCAGCACTCAGGAGAGACAGACGCAGGCAGATCTCTGTGGGTTCCAAGCCATCCTGATCTACATAGTGAGTTCCAGGACAGCTGAGCTACATAATGAAACCCCGTCTCAAAAAACAAAACAAAACACACTGCAGTTTTGTTTTCCAGGCCTGCTTAGCGTTGACACATGCACTACATTTTTTTTTTTTGAAATACATTTACATCCTAATAAGGGAACCAACCCACGTGGCACCACAATTAAATTATACAGTCTAATACTGTGTTGCTCTTTGACTCAATCTTGGGAAGTCAGAGCTTCTTGTCCTGTGTTCCTAGCTATGCTTCCATTGCAAGGGAAAGGAACAGAAGGATGAAGTGGTGAGGGTTTTTGTTTCGTTTTGTTTTGTTTTCACCAGTTCAGAAGCATAGTGCTTGTTTCTACTGCTATTACCATAGGCGTAACATCCTTCTCCTCATCATCGATTTATTGGTTTTTCAAGACAGAGTTTCTCAGTGTAACAGTCCTGCCTGCCCTGTCACTCACTCTGTAGACCAGGCTGGCCTCAAACTCACTGAGATCTGCCTGCCTCTGCCTCTTACGTGCTGGGATTAAAGATGTATGTATGCCACCACCACCCAGCAAATATACGCTTATTATTTACCTGGAACATGCAGTTAGAGGAACAGGAGAGGACTTGGCCAAAACTGACTTGAAAGTGTGTTTGGGGGGAACAGCATTTATCAATTTTGTTCACCTTCTGAACTGGCTAGCCATCAGAGAATTGTAGGACCTCCTTGAGAGGGCAAAATTCTCAAGTTCCCTTAACTACAGTCCAATGTTTAAAATGTCTTAGTTTGATGTCTTTTTGGTCTGTTTCTTGGTATTGTGTTTGAAAAACGACTTTTGCACGAAGGGTAGAATGAAGGAAAATGGACAGCAGAAGGAAGCCTCTGCAAACAGAGCTGCTGGAAGCCTGCTCTTCAGGACCAGCCTGGGACTTGCCAGTTTTTATTCAAAGTGCTTTATTTCCTACAAACACTTTTCCCACTGTTCCAAAGGTGGCAGAGGCTCTGAAGATTAAAAGTGCTGTGCTTTTTAAAACCTACTGAATGACTTCTCATCTCTAATCGTACTGAAGTTTTGTCATGCCAGTCTGTGTATGTCAAGCCGCCAGGCGTATGCATAAAAACTCTAGACTTTTCACTGTGCCAATCCATGGGTAAAACTTACTTCTGGAGCTGCGCAGCTATTAAAATCAGTCATATTTACAATTTTTATAAATGAGTTTATTTTAATAAAAACAAGTTGCTCTGTAAGCATGGTCTCTAGACAGATTTATGTGGGCTGGCACAATCTGCTATGGAAACATATATGCATATTGCTTAAGTCTGAAACCTTTTTTTTTTTTTTTTTTTTTTTTTAAGTGCTGCTAACAGTCTTGCTTTGTGCAAGGATGCCAGCTAATTGGCAGCACTTCAGCCAGGGATACTGTTCCCAGCACTGGGCCATTGAAATTGTTTCCCTGGACAGAAATGCCCTGTGGCAGGGACCTCAAATTGGGAAGCTTCTGGGCTGTTGGTTTTAGGGAGTGAAGCAGGCTGACTGCTTTGGAGAGAGAAAGACCAAGACTAGACTATAAGCTGATGGTAAAAAGGAGGAATGAGAAGAGGAAGAACCAGAGGGAGGGGTGCGGAAGAGAGGTGAAGGCCGTGCGCCTCTGCCGGTTCTGCTTCGCCCTCTTCCGCATTTCACTTTGGCGTGTTTTATGAGCATGTTTTTGCTTAGCATCTAGTCTGTAAGCTCCTGGAAACCAGAACACAGCCTTCCGGATCCATGGTTTCCATATCTACGATTCAACCAACTGTGGATCCAAAATGTTCTGGAAAAAAAAAGAAAAAAACAAAACCAAACCGCTGCGTGTTGTCCTTGTCTCTGTTGCCTGGAATCTGCGCCATGCTGGTGGAGGCGATGTAACTACATGGGGGCACGTGCTAGTGAAGATTACAAGCAAATACCACTGCAATTTGTTTGAGCGACTTGAACAACCCCCCAGTTTTGGTATTCTGGAAGGTTCCAGAACAGTTCCTTCTAGATACCAGGGGACAACTGGATGGCCTAACTCAGCTCTACATCTCCTGCAGTGCCTGGCGCTTGTGGTTGAATGTGTGAACAAAAGAATGAATTTCTGTATTTGAAATATTTCTTTTCTCAGAGTTAAATCCTAAGCTGGGATTTTCAGTGAACCTGGAGTTGTCTCTGGGCGAGCATAAACTGTGTGTCACTTTTTGTCTTATATTTTTCTTATGACGGAAAATAGCACTTCAATACATTATGGAGTGTATTGTTTTATTATTTTTCAGTAGCATCAGTTGTTAGTACAGCATTATCAACTACTTAAAATTACATTGATTTCTTAAATCACTTGTATAAGCAGTTTACATTCTGAATGTGATTTCAAGAAGCTAAAATGTTGTCAGTTTTTTGATTTAAGAAGCGGGTGAGAGTCTGCTGGTGAGCCTTGGCGTACACGCGTTTTGGAATCTTAGGATACAATTAAATACTGTGCACGTCGATTTCAGCAGCCAGGCCTTCCCTTCAAGCAACTGCAGGTTGCAGATTTTAGGACTGGTGTGTGGCTTGGTGGAACCGTGCTATCAAAGCACAAGGGGTCCATGATTGGGATGGGAGTGAGGACGAAACATCCAGGCACCAAAGACTTCTCTTGTGTCCGGGGCCGTGAATACACTCTGAGTGAGTTGTTTCTTCTCGCCTTCGTCCTGTATATTCATTTTAACAATGAAGAGAGGGCGGAAGGGAGGAGGAGGTGGGGAAGATGGTGAGGACCGAGAGGTTAGCATCCGCGCGTGGCTCGCCGGGGGGGGGGCGTGGGGCCGCGGCGGGAGCAGAGGCGGGAGGCTGGGCGCGCGGCCACGCTCAACTTTTCCTGTCCGGAGCTGGAGCTGGAGCTGGAGCTGCGGCTCCGGCAGGACTCGCGGCTGGAAGAGGCGGAGCCGCGGCTGACAGGCGCGCGGGACTGTTGACAGCCGGAGGGGGCGTGGCTGGACCCAGGGGGCACGCCCAGGGCGGGGCTGGCAGGGCGGGGGGCGGGGGGCGGGGCCTTAGGAGTCGGGGTGCGGGGAAGGCTTCGGGCGGCGGCGGGCGGAGCAACTGCCTGGGAGGGGCGGGGCCGCGCGAGGCCGGGAGGCGGGGCCTCCCCGAGCGGGCGTGGCTTCTGCGGGCGGGCAGAGGCGTGGCCCCTCGTGACAGGGGGCGTGGCTGCTCCTGACAGAGGGCGGGGCGGCGCACACCTCCCGCGGCGCCGGGATCTGGGGGAGCGGCCTGGGTCGCATCCCGGAGGGACGGCGAGTCCTCGCGTGGGGCGCCGGCTCGCCCCGCCTTGGCTGGCTCCTCCTCGCGGCCCCGGAAGGCTCGGGGACGAGAGCAGCCCTCGCGCCCTCGCGCCCCGGCGCTCGAGCGTCCTGCTCCTGGCGGGCCGCGCGCGGGGCTCCGTGGGGGGCCCCCCGCGTGAGGGCCCTCCGAGTGGTTCCGGGGTTAGGGTTCACGGGTCAGAGTTGACTCCCTGAAAAGTGCAGTCGCTCTGAAATGCAAGATGGCGGCGGCGAGGCGCTGAGGCGCGGCGGCCCCTGCAGGTAGCTGCGCGAGCCGGCTGGGCGCTGGGGCCGCGGGCGCGGGGCTGCGGGTGGAAGCCGAGCTGCGGGGAGCCCGCGGCGGCGGCGGCGGGGGGGTGGAGGCGAGAGGCGCGGGCGCGGCAGGGCGGCCCCGGGGCAGACGCCTCCCCCCGGGGACCCAGCCCACGGCGTGGGTGCGAGCGGCAGCGGCGGACCGGGGGGGGGCGGGCCTGCCCCGCGGCGAGCGGCGCCCCCGGGAGCCGTCGGGGATGGCTTGGGAGAGCGCTGAGTAGCCGGGGGTGCCGAGCCCGTCTCCGCGCTTGCAGCCTTCGGGGACGGCGGACGCTGAGCTCCCGCCCGGGTCCTGAGGGGGCGGCGAGCGTCGGCCTCCTGAGGCGTGGGGCCACCTCGTGGGGACGCAGCGCAGCCCCTCGGAAGGGGCGGCCAAGGGTGTCCCCGGGGACTGGCGTGCGCCGCCGGCCGAGGGGACCGAGCCACCGGGAAGCTGCCTCGGCCGAAGGCGAAGAGTTGCATCCCCAAGTACAGTGCGGTTGGCTGTGAGGAAGACCGGGGTGTTAGGGGAGAAGTTAATGAAAGGCGGAGGAAACTGGAAACGTACTGCCTCTTTCTGTGGAGGTCCAGGGGGTGCATGAACTGGGGGAGAGCGGCTGATGGCCCCGGGGATCTCCAAACCCCGGGGCGTAGAGGGAACGACCTACTGATTGCTTGAGGGGGGTTAATGGCTCGGAGGAGGACATGAAAAGAATTGGGGTCTGATGGCAGGAAAGCCGAGCCCTGACAGAAGCCCTTCCCGGAGTATTGGCACCGAAGTTCCAAGTGAAGGGACTTGAAATTCTTTGTTTCGGTACTCCAGGGGTACCAGTAAGGAACGAGCAAAACCAACGAAGAAGACTGTTTTCTATCCTTAGTTTCCGGATCAAGCCTCTGGGAAAAGCAACTGGGAAACTGAATGTAGGGTCGACGCATGGCTAGAGTAGAATGCCAGGCACTTTTCTGTCACCAGCCCTTCTTTAAAAGACAAAACCAAACTGAGGAAGAAGGGTTAGGAGAAAACTGTAAGAAAGGCTGATTGAAATTTTGTGACGATTAGGGTGGGAGTCCTCGGGGTTAATGGGGAAGCAAATGAACCCCTCCCTCTTCCCCCACGAAGAGTGAGTGGTGTGTGTGTTTCGGGGTGATACAAGTGTACCTTTTTTGGTTGAGGTGTTGGTCATTGTATCACAGTCTTTGTCCAAAAGCTTTGATTTGTGTGCAGTAGTAATTCATACCCTGAAAAAGTCATTATTTTAAACTAAACCAGTAATGGCAATTACTAAAGTTTGCTCCAATAGAGCTATTGGCACACAGATGACTTCAGTTTCTAAAGAAGAGATTCTGATTCCAGATTTAGTGAAGGAGAGGTTAAGTGCTGCCAATGACGCAAGTTTGGTAACAGGGCATATAAGGAAAAGGACATCGTGAAATTTTTTCTCTTGGTTTCTGCTCCCCTTCCCTCAAGCATCTTAAGGATATACAGATTAATTAGGCAACGGTCCTAGATTTTGCACTACTTTTCAAAACTGCCCGGCTGGCCTTGGAGTCGGGCAGTCCTCTTGCCCTGCCTCCTCTGTGCTGGGTTGCAAGTGTGTACCACCATGCCAGCTAATCCTAGATACGAACTTCTTACCTGTGTTACTTGTTGTCTGAGTTATGTGCTGCAGCTGCATGTGGGGGTCAGAGGACAACTTTTGGGAGTCCCTTCTCCACCCTCTCTGTAGGTGCTGAGGGCTAGACTCAGGTTGTCAAGCTCAATGGCAAATACTTTTACCTCTTGAGCTACCTCGCTGGTCCTGAGATGATACACACACACACACACACACACACACACACACACACACACACACACACGTAATTTATCAATGATTTTTTGGTAGAAGTAATGATACACATTTCATTTGACTGCTTAGATTAAAATAAGAAAAAGAAAGAAAATCAACCCTAGTGACTTGGGTAGTAACTTATGACACTTATGATTCATACAGATGTTCCAAGCTGTAGTTGCATTCTTAAAAGGGCTTACTGTTTTTGGTGGAAATGTCTTAAAGACACAGGTCAAGTATAATTATCTGTGGCTCAGCACTTGGAACGCCTGTCTAAGTATGTGCTGTTCCTTGGTTTCCCCACAATGCACACAGCCCTGGTGTTATACCCAGTTCTGAACAGATTAGTCTGGCAAAGCAGAGAGGCACAGATGCCAGATGGTTTGAAAATATGCTAAGGCTGAAAACACAAATGTGTCTGCGTGGAAGATGCTCATCAGTGGTTTCTTCTCCCTCACAGCCAAGCTTGCTTTTCACTGGGTTGGAGGGTAAGACATGCAAGATGCCACAGTGGTTTCATGAGTCTTGTTTTTGCTTAAAAACAGCAGAGCTTCGCTTTTTACTAAAATAGTTCATTGCAAAGGTGCAGAGGCTTGAAGTTTTTGTTTTGTTTAATTCACATTCAGATGGAAAGCTGATGTGATGATGTATTTTCTTTTTTATTGTCATGCACTCTTAAAAAATTATTGTATTTGTGTTTGGGTGTTCTGCCTACATGTTTGCACCATGGTGTGCAGTGCCCTCAGAGGTCAGAAGAGTGAGTTGCATCCCCTGGAACTGGGTTACAGACAGATGTGAACCACCATGTGGGTCCTTGAGATCCTTTGGAAAAGTAGCCACTGCTCCTAAACTGCTGAGCCCATGCTCCACCCCAAGCATTCTTTTTAACTTTGCTTCCTAGTAAAAAAATGTGCTTAGTCCCTTCATTGTATTATTTTACATTGAACAAAAGATGTAATAGTTGAGACTTAGTTTACTGTAACTTATGGTTTCATACTTAAATGAAAATGCTATTAAAATAATTAAATTAGCTTGTGGTGGTGGTGGCGGCAGTAGCGGCAGCACACACCTTTAATCCCAGCACTTGGGAGGCTGGGACAGGAGCATCTCAGTAAGCTCGAGGCCAACCTGGTCTACTACAAAGTGAGTTCCAGTACAGCCGGGACTGTTACACAGAGAAACACTGTCTCAAAAACACAAAAAAAAAAAAAAAAAAAAAAAAAAAATTTGATCATAAATATAGTTGTGGAAATAGCCTTTTTATTTCTGTTTTGCCATTGTGGATTTAGGTTCAAAAGACCCTGTTTATTTGAATTTTAAATGTGTTGGAAGGTCAGTACTAAGCTAATTTTATTTAAGCATTGTAGTCAATGCAATTATTCAGGAGGGGGCTTGGATTGTTGTATTGTTTAGGATAATATCCAATATTACCCGTTTTTGTTTTGTGTGTGTGTGCACACATGTGTGTGCAGGTGCATGTGTGTGTGTGTGTGTGTGTGCAGGTGCATGTGTGTGTGTATGTGTGTGCAGGTGTATGTGTGTGCAGGTGCATGTGGGAGCCACAGGTCAACATTGGATGCCTTTCTCAGTCACTCTGTCCCGTATTTGTTGAGATAGAGTATTTCATTGAACCTGGAGCTTGAGTTGACTAGGCTGTCTGGCCAGCCAACCACAGGGATCCCTTGTTGCCCCTCCAGTGAGGGGACTATGGTGTACCCTGTAGTGGCTGGCTTTTTATGCAGGTCCTGGGGATGGAAGGCAGGTGCTCATGCTTGTGCAGGAAACACTTGCCAATTCAGGCATATTCCCAGCACTATCATACATTTAAAAATCACTATCACTATCATACATTTAAAAATCACTATTACTGTTTGTAGTATGGTAAGCATATTTACATTCAATTTTTTCAGAAATAAAATTCTTTAAAATTATTCTATGCAATCTTAAAGGTAATCTAAACTATTTACTTTTAAATCTTTGATACTGGTTCTTGAATAACTACTGTTTTTGTAATATCACTGTTTTTATACTATTTATTGTATTCTTGTTGCTTTGATGTATATATAGTAATAAAAAACAGATTTGACTGTTTGGTGACTTAGATACTAATCATAGTTACATTTGAGTTTACATTTTGGAAATCTGTATTTTATAAGACTTTTATATAAATATACAAAAATTTTATGTACTTACTGGGTTTTGTTCATTAAATTTTCTTTTACTTTTTGGCTTTTTGAGCAGTCTCATTTTATTAACTCAGGAGGACTTTGAAATTACAGTGTAGGAGCTGGAGAGATGGTTCAGAAATTAAGAGATTAAGAACTCTTCTAGAGGGCCTAGGTTCAATTCCCAGCACCCCCATGGCAGCTTACAACTGCCTGTAACTCCAGTTCCAGGGGACCCAACACCCATGACAAAACACACACACACACACACACACACACACACACACACACATATATATATATAATATAAAAATAAGTAAATTTTAAAAAATTAGAAGTGTCATATGCCTTTAATCCCAGCACTCAGGAGGCAGAGGCCAGCATGGTCTACAAAGTGAGTTCCAGGACAACTGGGGCTATTACACACAGAAACCCTGCCTCAAAAAACTAAACAAACAAACAAAAATATAATGTAAACCAAGCTTATCTTCAACTTTCCTTAATAAGTGCTGGGATTCCAGATGTACACTACCATACCTGGCTCAGGTTTTGTTCTTAAAAAGTACTGAATCTTGGCATTTTACATAAGAAATATTCTTTTTAAAGAATAGCCTATTTAACTTTATTTTATGTGCATTGGTGTGAAGCTGTTAGATCTCTTGGAACTGGAGTTACAGGCAGTCCTGTTTCATCAATATTCTTTAATATATTTAAGAGTCATGAAGATATACACACACACACACTCACACACTCTCACACTTAATTGATACATACCTTTGTCCTAACAACTACAATGATAAATTTTAGAAACCAAATATATATGGGTACTTCAGAATGACATTTGTTCAAGGAATTCAGCTGAATACATGTTTCTGTGTGTTAAGCCATAGCCTTGCTATGTAGCCCAGGCTGGCCTGGAGCTTCCAGTCCTCCTGCCTTCTGAGTGTTGGGATTGCAGACATGTGGCTAAGTTTGAATACCTTTTTTTTTTTTTTTTTTTTTTTTTTTTTTTTTGGAGAGGGCATCATGTAGCCCAGGCTGGCCTCAAGCTCCATATGTAGCCAAGGAGGACATTAAATTGGCCTTCCTGGTTCCACTTTGTAAAAGCTGTAGTGTCAATTGGTCCTATGAGGTCCAGTCTGTTGTGCTGGGGTTGGATCCAGGCTTTGTGAGTGCCATGTGAATGCTCTAATAACTGCTTCCCTGAACAGATTATTTATGTGGGGTCTGAATTATCTGTCATTAAAACTATACTGGCCAGGTGGTGGCACACACCTTTAATCCCAGCACTCGGGAGGCAGAGGCAGGTGAATCTCTGTGAGTTCGAGGACAGCCTGGTCTACACAGAGAAATCCTGACTCGAAAATCAAACAAACAACAACTCTCCCCCCAAAAGAAAACTGGGTGTGGGCTGTATTTGGGAGTGTAAAGATTAGCAAGAATAATTTCTCCTCATTACTGTAAGACTGTATATCAATAGGGAGTTGAGTTATGACATATTTGTCTACTGTTAAAGGCTACTTTTATTAATATATAAAGTTATAAATGGGAAATACAATGTATTGATTGACTGTAACCCAGGTTTTAAACCTATTTTATAGTTTTTTTTTTAGCACTGATCCAATTTGAAACAGACTTTTTTTTATAACGTAACTTGACAGTAATGCCATAACTTAAATCCAAACAAAATCCATTGTTCTTACTAAGTCCCAGAAAATAGTCTGAACACTAAACATTAATTCCTTCTCCAATCCTGATAGCAGCCTGGTTATCAAAGCACTATGATTTGCTCCACCGTACAGATGAGGAGCCTGAGGCACAGTCCACAGGCAGAGTGGTGGCTTGCCTGTGTCTACAGCAGGCAGTGAGTGACAGTGCTGGGATTTAATTCAGCTTGCTCCAGAGCCCAGGCTTTCAGGACTCCATAGCCACTGCCAGAACAGCTTGTTCTTTTTTATTATGTAATATACATGGTTGAGCTCTTTCTTTTCTGAAACACACTCACCCTAAATTTAAAAACATCTCTGAGTTAGAGAGAAGTGTCCTCAAGGAATCTCAGTATGGGAACTGGAATAGCTTCAGACAGATGCAGTTTCCATTCAGAAGAGTCAAACAGCTCATCTGTTGGGCCTCTGTTGCACTGGGCCCTCACGTGTCTTGGCAGCTCATCTCGAGAGACCCGTTCAGTAGAACGTCTTGCCCTTTCAGTGTGATCTAAGAATGAACTGCAGTTGGTTACCAATTTCCTACAGTATTAATAATTCACTTTTGTAAAGAACCTCCGTCTTCAGCAGCTGTTTTCTGTGTTCTAGTTCCCGTCCTGTAGATGGATGCTAAGGAGTGGCTGGAGATGGAGATACTAGAAAACAAAATCGTAGAGTCCTAAACTATAGGGAGAATACAATGCTTCACTGGCTCTGCCTGGAAAATGCTCTTTTACTTTCATGAAAGCAGTGAAATTATTTGGCCTAAGCTTTTACTTAGAAGTTTTACAAGTGGATGTTTGTTGGTTGGTGGTTGTACATGCCTTTAATCCCAGCACTCAGGAGGCAGAGGCAGGTGGATCTATATGAGTTCAAGGCCAACCTGGTCTACAGAGTGAGTCCTAGGGTAGCCAGGGCTACACAGAGAAACCCTGTCAAGAAAAACAAAATCAAAACAAAGAACATAAGTGGATCTTTTAATATATTTGCATTATTTCTTAAGGGGATACTTTATAAGCATGTATGTTAACATTAGCAGGAATAAGAAGATAAGGTATTTGAAAAAATAAAAGGTGATTTTTCTGGCTTTCTGTGTTTTAGAGTGTCTGTACTTTAAAAACAGCAAAAAATATTTTTACCTTCAAAAGTACTGCTGTTATTCTAATAAAAGAAGCAGTTATAGTTTTTAATTATAATTTCCCAAGTGGATTAGGTACTCTTGGGAATACACCAAACATTTTTAGAGATTAGTTTGGATTTTCAGAGAAGGATGAATTAAAATTTTTGTTTGTATATGACAGGGTCTCTCACTATGTAATTCTGAATAGCCTGGAAATTGTTATGTAGACCCAGCTGCCCTTGAACTCATAGAGATCCAACCACCCAAGTGCTGGGGCTAAAGTCATACACTACTATGAGGGGCAGTTTAATTATTTGATTACACAATACACTGAAATGATATTTTGTAGCAACTTTCTAATTAAAAACGCTTATGACCTAAATGTGAAATTTCACAGTAGGCTCATGTGTTTGAACACTTGGAGTGTGCTATTCTGAGAGGTTGTGAACCTTTAGTAGGTAGGACCTAGTTGGAGGAAGTGGTGTCTGGCGTTGTGTAGCCCAGCCAGTCTTTTTGATCCTTTCTGGGTTCATGTATGTGTGAGCAAGTGTCTTCATGTATTTATAGCCATGAATGCTGACATGCTTTCCCTACCATAAACCTGTGAGCCAAAAGAAGCCCTTGTTCCTTTAAGCTGCTTCTGTCACTTAATTGTCACAACAGCAGTTTTGAATTTTATTGAAAATGATATAATAGTTACAAGGTTATTCTGTATAAGTAGATTTTTAAAGTGCCTGTAAAACAATTTGTGTTTTCTATCAATATTGAGTTTGGCATATGCATGCATATATATATATATATATATATATATAATTTCTATGAAGAAATAAGTCTTCCCTCAGAATTTTTAAAAAGCCAAGACCTAACTGTAGTAGTTAATAAGTTTAAGTAATATTTAGAATAATAAAATAATTGTATTTTTTTTGTAGGAGAAGACTGCTAGCTACTTTGGGACTATCTGTGATGATGGCCTGAGAAAAGTACCTCATTTGAAGGGATAACCTTCTGCTTTAATGAACAAAATGCTAAGGAAGCTATGGCAGGTATGTCTTCATTATTCAGGGATGGCAAAGCCCCAGTACAGATGCACTCACTTAAGAGTCCATAATACTCTGTTTGGCTACTGTTTAAAAAGCTGCCTCTACTCCAGATTCTAGGAGATCTAATGTCTTCTTGCCTCTGGGAGTTTTTATGCACATACACAATCTTAAGATAATAAAAATATAAGAGAGTCATCCTCTTTAGTAAAAAAATAAAAGTTTTACTTCCTTAAAACAGAGCGGGGGGGGGGGGTTGCTGGAGAGTGGTTCAGAGCACTTACTGCACGGGGCATGGCAAACGCCTTTAATTCCAGTACTGGGGAGGCAGAGGCAGGCAGATCTCTGAGTTTGAGGCCAGCCTGATCTGTACAGTGAGTTCCAGGATAGCCAGGGCTACATAGTGGGACTCTGTGTCAAATCCCTTCCACCAAAAAAAAGAGAATTTATTGTTTTTCTAGAGGACCTGAGTTTAGTTCCAGCATCCATGCAGTGGCTTACAACTACCTGTATGTAAATCCTGCTCCAAGAAATGAGATGTCACCTTCTGGCTTCCATGTGGGACCTGCCCATGTGGCATATAGCCACACTGAGACACATACACTTACATATGAATAAGAAACAAAGATTATAATAAAAAGCAACTGGAAGCTTAATACTTTTTTAAAAACGCACTTTTCCTTTCAAACTTTGACAACTATATGGATGTTGACTGCTTTAATTTCAAAGGCAAAACCTATTTCATCATAAGTTACTTTTTAAAGATTTGTGTGTGTGTGTGTGTGTGTGTGTGTGTGTGTGTGTGTGTGTGTGTGTACACGCACAATGAAGGTGCAGGTGTCTGTGCAGGCCAGGAGAGGGTGTCAGGTTCCCCTGGAAGTGGAGTTACAGGTGGTTGTGAACTAAGAACCAAACCTGAAGTTTCTGCAAGAACAGCAAGTGCTCTTCCTGCTAAGCCACCTCTCTAGGCCCTCATAACCCATCTTGTTTAGAGTATTTATAGTTTACTTTTCAACTAATATTCCCCAAATCTGCCGCATGCCAGGCACTTCACCAGGTGCTCTAGTAATGTAGTGCACAGGCAAAGGGCCACCATTGTGAAGGGCCTTTCATGTGGGGAAAGTGACCCCAACATTTTACCACTCCCTTGTCTGTGTTTAAAAATGTAACATGGTAGCACATGCCTTTCATCCCAGACAAGGGGAATCTCTCGAATTTGAGAGAAGCTTGTTCTACATAGCAAATTCCAGGCCTGCCAGCGTTATATAGTGAGATCTGTCTTGAACAAAACAAAATTCAGGGCCAGTGAGATGACTCAGTCATCTGTCAAGCCTGATGACCTAAGTTTGTCTCCTCTGTAGAAGGTCCACACTGTAGAAGGAGGGGACCAATTCTTGCAAGTTGACCTTTGACATTCACATGTTTTCTTTGGCACACGTTCTCACAGACTGAAAATAAAGACATGTAATTAAGCGCTGGAGATATGGCTAGAGACCTGGGTTCAATTCCCATCACCCACATGGCTGCTCACAATTGTCTATAACTCCAGTTCCAGAGGATCTAACACACTCATACAGACATACAGGTAGGCAAAATACCATTGCATATAAAATAATGTTAAAAAAGAAATATAATTAAAAAATGATTTCAAGATATAAATACCTAAAATATATTGTAAATATACAGGCCACTACTAATAGTGAATTAATAATTATGCAAATTAGGATGATTTATATTAACCACACCAATTTTTAAATATTTAACTGTACTTCCACATTCTTACATATTTTTATCTAATTTTGAATTTTACAAGAACATTAGGTTATATACTATATGCTTGAAATAGTTTAGTTATATATATATATATATATATATATATATATTAAATCAAATAAACATAGCCTCAGTGAAATAGGTAATAGTTGCCTTATTTTATAAACAGGAATAGTAATGGACAGATGAATGATTTTCCAGCTTCTTAAGGATAGCCCAACTCAGATCTAAGAATAGCATTCCTGCATGAAAGACACAGCACACCTTATTGTAAACACTAGGGGAAAACTGTCTGCCGAAGATCAGCACTTTTGGGTCACATTTGCAAACTATCAACAGGTTAGTTTTCATGGTAGAGCCAGTTTATGTCACTCAGAGCAGCACACTTCCCTACCTCACAGTGGGTATGCAAACTGAGACGTTTTCTTCTTCGAATCTGGGATCAGAGCTTTTGAGCAGGAACCTGTCCAACTTGGATTCTCTCGTCTTCAGCGTCATTAAGGTCTGTTCTCTGATTTGAACAAAGACAGGGCAGTGAGAGTTTCTTACCTTTCAGCCTTTATTAGCATTAGCAAAGGGACCCTCTGAAATTAGCTTTCACTTTTGTCGTATCTTTTTTAGTTTGACATTTTCCTGAGATTTATCTTTAGCTAAGGGTTCTAAGTACTAGTAATATTTAAAAAAAAAAAAAGATTGTGTGTTAGTGTTTCTATTGCTGTGAAGAGACACCATGACCATAGCAACTCTTACAAAGGAAAACATAGAAGTTTCTGTCCCACCAGGTCCTGCAGCCCTTTAGTCACAAACACATAGAGCCTATATTAACTATAAACTGTTTGGCTTGTGGCTCAGGCTTCTTATTGGCTAGCTCTCTCTTAATTATTAACCAATTTCTATTAATCTGTATATCTCCACGTGGTCTTGGCTTACCAGTAATGGCTGGGTCTCTTGCTTCCTCAGCAGCTACATGGTGTCTCCCTGGCCCCGCCTACTACCTTTATCCCTGTTTGGATTTCCCACTGGCTATCCTGCCTGTCCATTGGCCAAAACAGTTGTATTCATCAACCAATAAGAGAAACATATATTCACAGTATACAGAAGGACAACCCCCTTCAAAAAACATTTAATTGAGGTAGGGGCTTACAGTTTGAGTGGTTCAGTCCATTATCATCATGGCAGGGAGCATGGCAGCATGCAGGTAGACAGGGTGCTGACTACATCTTGATCAGAGGCAGCTGAGCAAAGCTTAAAAGCATAGGAAACCTTAAAGCCCACCCCAACAGTGGCACACTTCCTCCAACACGGCCAAACCTACTCCAACAAAGCCACACCTCTTAATAGTGCCCCTCCCTATGAGATTATGGGGACCAGTTACATTCAGACTACCACATTGGTACACATTTGTGTTGTCAAATTCCTAGTTTGATATTTTAAAGAACTAGATTATTTAAGTGTTTACATTTTAAATGTGAAGATGTTCCCAGCACCCACATAGCAGCTCACAACTGTCTGTAACTCCAATTCTAGTGAATCTGGTACCGTCACACTGACATACATGTGGACAGAATACCAATGTACAGAAAAATAAATAAAATCTTGAAAAGAAAGTAAAACAAAACAAAAACAAAAACGACCTGAGCAAGTGGAAGTTGACGGATAGCTGGGGAACCAGCATAGGACCAAACCAGGCCCCATGGATGTGGGTGTCAGTTGGGGGACCTGGGCAGTCTTTGGGGCAGCTGACAGTGTTTATCCCTAGCGTATGAATGGACTTTGGGAGCCCATTCCCTATGGAGGGATACTCTCTCTCAGCCTAAATACACGGTGGGAGTGCCTAGGTCCTGCCCCAAATGATGTGTTGACTTAGATGATCCCATGGGAGGCCTCATCCTCCCTGGGGAGTGGATGGGGGAGTGGGATGAGTGGGACGGGGGTTGGTGGGGGGCATGGGAGGACGAGAGGGAACTGGGATTGGTATATAAAATAAATTGTTCTTAATTTAAATAAAAATTTATTTAAAAAAGAAAGTAAACACCTTTGTTTATTATTTGATTGTAAATAACAAAATATTAAAAATAATAAACTATATAAAATAATAAATATATTTATATAAAATAAAAACTAAAAATAATAAATAAACTAAATTTATTATTCAGTTATTATTTTGTTGATGCTAGGTAAAAATTAATATGATGCTAACAAACCATAGCATCTTCTAAAATATTTTTATTTGAACCCAGATTTGGTATAAAAATATTATTTTCATTCATGTACAATCTTAACAAAATAACATCTTTTGTGGCTAAGTAGGCCATTATATTATTGTCTGTTAATCATTTAACTTGAAATACAAGACATCCAAAAAGAATTGGCAATTCAATACAGCTATGACTCTTGTCTAATTTTATAAACATTTAAAGAACATTTAACATTTTTGTTAGATGCATGGAATCTGGTTACTTTAATTTTAGTATTTCTTTTTATTTTATGAATATGGGTATTTTTCCTCTATGTATGTTTTCACACCATGTGTGCACCCATGCCTGTGGAGGCCAGAGGAGGACATCAGATCCCCTGGGACAGAAGGACAGATGTTTGTGAGTCCCCATCATGGGTTCTCTAGAAGAGCAACCAGGGCTTTTCAACACTGAGCCATCTCCCTATCCCAAATCTACTCACTTTCTATGTGAAAACCCTACTTTTTAATATTTTAAAACTATTTTATCATTACAGTTTTTTACAGAGTAGAAGCCATGATTCTAAGTACAAATTATATTTGCTACTGTTGTAAGAACTAAGCAGTTTTCTTTTCTTTTTTTGGAACAGTGTGTTTCTCTGTGTAGCTTTTGGAGCCTGTCCTGGAGCACACTCTGTAGACCAGGCTGTCCGAACTCACAGAGAGATCCACCTGTCCCTGCCTCCTGAGTGCAGGGATTAAAGCCGTGTGTCACCACCACTCAGCACTATGCTGTTTTCACTTTAATTTCTCGCAGAAAAAAATCCTTTGTATGTTTTTTCCTCTCTTGTTTCACTCTTATTCTATAAATTAGATATACAGTATTCATACATAAAATCCATTTATTACTAGTAAAACTTAGATGTCAGCAAATGTTTATTGAATGTTGACTGTTACATTTTAGTAAGTGGCATGCTTTAGATTGGAGAGTATTTTCATATTCTGATGACTAAGGTGACTTTTATCAGTATGGGCTTATTACTGGTAATCTGTAAAGTAAAACACAGTGTTTTTAATAGTTCTTCCATAAGTGAGCATTCAAAGAAGTCAAATATATGCGTGTGTGTGCGCACGGCGTGCGCGCACACACACACACTAAAGGTTTCTAAAATTTTCATGTGTATGATTGTTTTGCCTGTATGTGTGTATGTCAGTTTAACACTTTCATGCCTGATTCCCACAGAAACTAGAAGAGGGCACCAGATCCCCTAGAACTGTAGTTACAGATGGATGTGAGCCACCATGTGGGTGCTAGAATAGACCCAGGGCCTTTTGAAGAACACCATTGCTCTTAACTGCTGAACCATCTCTCTAGACACCTCCCCAAACTTTTTTGTGACAGGGTTTCATGTATCCCAAGGTCCTTCTGTGGGTGGGTTTATGTTATGAGCAGGTTTTCCCACCAGCCAAGTTCCAGAGCCCAAATAACACAGAGATGCTGTATTAGATATAACGGAGAGAGGATCGGACCTCTGCTCTCTTGGTCCTACATGTTGACTCTTCTTTCCTTTCCCTGAATCCTTCTTGTCTCCTAGTCCCACCTATCTTGCTTTCCTGTTGGCCAACAGGGCTTTATTCATTAACCAATAAGAGAAACATATTTACAGAATGACATCTCTCATCAGGAATGACCTTGCATTTGTAATCCTCACCTTCTACTTCCAGAGTGCTGGGATTACAGATGTGTGCCATCATGCCTGTCTAAGAGGCCAGTGCAGGATTTGATACATGCTGGGCAAGCAGTCTACCAACAGAGCTGTTTCTCTGCCCCTCCAAGATGCTTTTTAAAGTAAGTTTGTAAACATTGCTGGGCCTTTAATATTCTCTGTTGGATCCTAGAGACATGGTGGAAATACAGTCTTTCTGACCATAAAAGAATTTGTATGAGAACTCCCAATATTGTTACGCTGCGATGAAACACATTTTGCTTTCATTGAGTCTTTCTGTAGAGAAATGTTTTTGTAATTATTTCGTTAAGAATCATGAGTTGGTTGAGATGCATAGCCAGGTCTAAACCCTAGAGAATATGGATGATTTTTGAGGGCTCTTAGAACCAGATACCCCATAAATTTCCTAAAATAGCCTGAGTACACATGCTGGGGGGTTGATTCTTGCTACCCCTTGAAAACCTTTGTCTAACTTTTTTTTGTCTTAAAAAAAAAGAAAACTTGTTTCCAGCTTGAACTGGGCATGTTCTACAATCCTAATACTCAAGAGTAAAGTAAGGTCAGGTGACTCAGCCAGGAGGGTTTTACTTTGATGCCAGTCTGGGCCTTTTAAGCAAGACCCTGCTTCAACAAACAAAACACTTGCATATTTAGTTGATCCTAGGTCAGAACTAACACAAACATAAAAATAAATTATTGTTTGCAATTTTAAGTCCTTAAAATTATTTTTTGTTATATTTCATAGAAAAACAGTATCAAACATTATTAAAAAAATAAACATTCCACCTGAAACATATGAAAAGTCCAATTTTAATATTTTCATAGTCTTTGTCCAAAATATATATATTCTCTTACTAATAATTAATATAATGCAAATTTTATTTAGATTTAAAAAATACACCATTTGGATAATTACAGATGGTTGTGAGCAGCCATGTGGTGGCTAGGAATTGAACTCAGGACCTCTGGAAGAGCAGCCAGTCTCCAACCTTTAGTTATGGTTTCTATTGCTGTGAAGAGACACCATGACCACAGCAACTCTTACAAAGGAAAACATTTAATTGTGGCTGGCTTACAGTTCAGTCCATTGTCATTGTAGTGGGACATGGCAGCGTGCAGGCAAACATGGTACTGGAGAGGTAGCTGAGAGTTATACATCTTGCAGGCAATAGGAAGTACACTGTCTCACTGGGTGTGACTTGAGCATATATGAGACCTCAAACCCCCACCTCACAGTGGCACATTCCTCCAACAAGACCACACCTACTCCAACAAGGCCACATGTCCTAATAGTGCCAATCCTTTGAGGGCCCGCTTTATTTCAAACCACCACACTCCACTCTCTGTCCCCCAAGGCTTGTAGCCATATCACAATGCAAAACTGTATTCAGTCCAACTTCAAAAGTCCCCATAGTCTATAAGTCTCAAACTAAGTCTCTTTTGAGATTCATGCACTCTCTTAACTGTGATCCCCTGTAAAATTAAAATAAAAAAGCAGGTCACATAGTTCCAACATACAGTGTCACAGGATATACATTATCATTTCAAAGCATAGGGAAGGGAGCATAGTGAAGAAGTGCTGGGCCAAAGCAAGTCTCAAAATCAGCTGGGCAAACTCCAAACTCTGCAGCTCCATGTCTGACGTCAAACGCTCCTAAGATCTCCAGCTCCTTTCAGCTTTGTTGGCTGCAACACACTCCTTTCTCTTGGGCTGGATCCACTCTCCATTATCAGCTCTCCTCAGTAGGTATCCCACGGCTCTGGCATCTCCAACATCCTGGGTTCTCCCAGGCAATCCAGACTTCAACTTCACAGCTGCATGCAGTGGTCTTTCTAGGCTTCCATTCAGGGACACCCCTGGCACATGCATGGCCTCAGGGACTTTCCTTAGTCATGGAGGCAAATTCCATAGTCTCCTTCTATCCTTAACTCCAGAACCATGTGGCCAAAGCTGCTAAGTTCTGCTTCTTAATGGATAGAATATAGACACCCCCCCCCATTCAATTACATCGTCACCAGCGTGCAGGCAAACATGGTACTGGAGAGGTAGCTAAGAGTTGTACATCTTGCAGGCAACAGGAAGTACACTGTCTCACTGGGCATGGCTTGAGCATATATGAGACCTCAAAGTCCACCTCCACTGTGAAATACTTCCTCCAGTAAGACCACACCTACTCCAGTAAGGCCACATGTCCTAATAGTGCCACTCCTTTAGGCTCCCTCCACCCAAACCACCACAGGATCACATGCCACAAACTGTGTAGCAGAGGATGACATTGAACTCCTGATTCTTCTCTTAAGGGCTGGGATTACAAGCTCCATAGCTCCATAGTAGTGATCTTTATTCCTGCCAATTGTGTCTTGTCAGCTAAGTTACTTTCAAAAAGAAAAGTTTTATAATGTGCAAGTGTTATCTCTTACTCTCCTAAAAGATTTTTTGAGAATGGGAGATAGCATCAGTTAACTTGCTGCATGTGCATGTGAGCTGTGAAGAACACACTTTTTTTTTTTGCCTTTAAGGTGGGCTATTCCTGTTTCCCTAGAGGTCTTCTCTGCTGCTTTCCTAAGGTTGCTATGCTGTACTTTCATACAATTCCTGCTAATTCTCTTGTTATATTTGACTGCCAGCTTCTATTGCACTGCTGGTGACTGAGCAGAGGCCGTCTGTCTTGGTCACCTCTGCATCCCTAGTGCAAGACACAGTACCTGGCACGTGGCTGACAGTCCACACATTGTGAAATATTTTTTTTGAAGAATCTTGGTTTTGTAGGTGAGGAGGCTTAGGATGAAGTTGAGTATCTTTTCCAGATACTTTTCTGAGAGAACAATTCCAAATCCTGTGGTTTATGCTGTTCCACATAGCTTCTATGAATTAATTAGTCTGTGCCTGACTTTCTTCCATGAAAGTCAGCTGTACTAAAATTTTTGTTTCCTACAAAATTATAACTGGAGAGTCTTTTGTGTGTGTGTGTGTGTGTGTGTGTGTGTGTGTGTGTATGCAGCTGGAAAACAGAGGATAACCTCAGCTGTCATTTCTTAGGTGCTGTCTGTCCTCTTTGGATTTTGAGGCAGGATCTCTCATTGGTTTGGAAATTGCTAAGTACACTAGGCTGGATAAGGCACTCCAGGGTTCTGCCTCTGTCTCCCCAATGCTGGAACTAAAAGTGCCCCACCAGGTCTATGTCTGGCTTTGTTGTTGTTGTGTGTGTTAGAGAGGGAACTCAGTTCTTGTGCTTGCTTGACAAATACTTAACCGTCTCCACGCTCCGCTTTTTTGTTCTTTGATATATATTTAGGCTTAATTCAGGTGTAGCATCAAGCCATTTGGCCAAATCTTGAAGCTTCGGGGAGAGTGGGGATTCTTGTATTTTCTTAAGAACTGTCTTAGTTACTTTTCTATTGTGACAAAACACCATGACTAAGGCAACTTATAAAGAGAGCATTTAATTTGTAAGTTTTTGCTAGCGTGCAGAGCTGAATCTTTATTCATGCCCAGAGGGTGTGTGTGGCTGCAGGCAGGCAGGCATGGTGCTAGAGCAGTAGCTGATCCACAATCATGAGCATAGAGTGTGAACTGGGAGTGAATGGGGTGGGCTTCCCCCCACTTTTGTTTTTGAGATTATTATATAATTACATCACTTCTCCTCTCTTAATGGCTAAGCCACCTCTCCAGCTTGTCCTTCTCTCTCTCTTTCTTTCTCTCTCTCTCTCTCTAACCCTCTCATTTCAGCAACTTGAATTGAATATGTATGTTTTTAAGGCCAATATTTTCAGAGGGAAAAGTACAACTTGGATATAGATTAGTAGATTATAATATGGCATAAGTATGTTTTTCACAACTTTAGTAAAAATTGTTAAGCTTATAAAATGTGTTTAGATCTAGAGCTGGCAAGATGACTCCGTGGGTAAAGGTGCTTGCTGCCAAGCCTGACTATCTGAATTGGGTCCCTGGATCCCACATGGTGGGATCAGAGCATCAACTCCTCCATGTTGTCTCCTGATGTCTACAAGTTCTCATATACTGAATGTGAGGACAAAGTAAAGTTCATTTAGATCCGCTTAAATGTTCACTTACCAGTTTGAATTAGTCAGCCAGTACAAAAAGCAATTTGACAGCATATTCTTATTATGTGCTGTATAAGATTAAAAATATATGAAGTTAACCCAAAAAGTTGAATGTTCTTCTGGAGTCAGGAAGGTAAAGGGGCCTGGGCTCAGTCTCTTCAGCAGCTCTTGTGACTGATTGCTGCTTTGTTCTCCCTTCTCATATTGGGGCTTGAACCCAGGACCCTACTGTAGGCTAGGTGGGTGCTCTTACCACTGAGAGCAAGTCTCGGCCACCCTTACTTTGTTAGTTCTCACTTTATTATTTTTTAAATCAGTTTTGCGAATTGCTCCGGTTGCCCTCAAGCGTCTGCCCTTCCTTTCCTGTGTCAGCCTCCACTTGGTCTGTCTTCTGTTGCACTGAATTCACTCTCAGTGGTTTCAGATAACATGGCCCAGTAGTGGCATAATGACATGATTTGGATGAGATTGACACATTGTTTTGAAAGTGTTTTAAGTTTGTAAAGCACAGTTTTTCAAACACCTTTCAGAACCTCTCGGGTAGAAGTGGGGTCCTGGGGTCCTGGACTGTTGTTAGGGAAGTTTAACATATTTCCTACAGTCAGCTAACTACTCTATTTCTCTCCTTTGAAAATGTATTTATTGATATATACTCATTGTACATGGCAGTGGCTTCAGGATACATTTTCATTTGTGTATACCAAGTGCTTTGATCATATTCCCCCCTCTTGTTATCTTCCTGACCCCCTCCTATTAATTCCTACTCATTCTCCCTGTTAGTTTTGCTTCTATTCCATAGCTTGTATAAACCCATGATTTTATGTCCCCGCACAAAACCTACCATCCACAGAAGAGATAAAACGTGGGTATTTGTCTTTCTGAAATCACTTAATTTGATGATCTTTAGTTGTGCACATTAATAAACAGAATTTGACTTACATTTTAGCTTCTCAGAGTAATTTTGTTTGAAGAAAGGGTTCCTTTCCTTAAACATTTATTTTGAAAACCACTGCTTTCAGAAAGCAAACCTCTTTGTCTTTGCTCTGTAGCTGTGAGTTCATCACAGTTAAGGACAGCCTCTTTCTGAGCCAGGAGAGTGAAGTCACAGGTGGCTTACTCCTGTTCTTCCAAGAGCTTCATGGGCACGCATTCTCTCCCACTTAGTGGAGCCACTGGAGATTGAACCCTGAGAATCCCATTTTTAATAACAGACAGCTATCAAGTAGCTGTGTGATTTACAGTTTGAAATCCCATGATTCCTATTTGATTAGGAGAAGTTTCTAAAAGTTAAATAGTTCTGGATTTCTGAGATTCTTTATGATTTTGAAGTGGTGCTTTCGTACATGTTATTTATTATACTGTGTTCTTCGTACCTGCCTCCACTGTGTATACTTCCCCATCTCCTCTTGCCTCCTACAGTCTTTCTTGTGCTTTCCTGCTGCTCTTACCCACCACCCCCTCTTTTTCTCCTTTCCATTAAGAATTCTTTCCTTCTACTCATTCTTGCATGACATACCAACATTCCTACACCCTATATATGGAACTTTAAATCCTGATTCTTCATTTGAGAGAAAATATGCAGTATTGTAACTCTAGCTTGTTTCACAACATTTAACATAATGACCTCTAGATTTGTACTATTTCTTGCAAATGTCATGATTGCATTTTTTTTTCAGATTTATTTAGTTATATTTCACATGTATTGGTGTTTTGCCTACATGGATAGCTGTACACTACATGCATGCAGTGCCCATAGAGGCCAGAAGAGGGTGTCGGGTCCTCTGGAACTGAAGTAACAGATGTTGGGTGCTGGGAATTGAACCCAGGTCCTCTGGAAGAGCAATCACTACTCTTTGCCACTGGGCCATCTCTCCAGCCCATGATTTAATTTTTTCATTTTTAATAATTTTTTTCTTTAAAAAAAGGATCTTTTCTCATTTTATACACCAATCCCAGCTCCCACCCCCTCCCCTGTTCCTGCTCCCTCCTTCTCCCTTCCACCCCACCAGCATCCACTCCTCAGAGGGGCAAGGCTTCCCATGGGGAGTCACCATGATTCAGTTTTTAAGAGTGGAGATCTGCACTATGAATACTACATATAGCTAAGCGGATGTTCTTTGCTAGGGGTGATTAATACAACTTTGAGTATGCTGTTTGAATTTGTCAAATAAACATATAGTTTGTATCTGAATAATCAGATGTGGAAGGTCTTGGCACCTTCAGATCGGCATACAGCTGTGTTTCCTGACAGATACTGGCAGCACATCTTCATAGAAGGTCTTTGAAGTAGACTCTTCCTTCAACTGTGACACGGATGGCTGTATATGAAAACCACTTGAAATTCTGGTGGTAATTGTATTTATTTGAATTTGGTTTAAACATCAGAAACATAAACTGTGATTAGTCTCAAAATTTTACTTTAATTTTTTTTTTCAAGGCAGGGTTCTACTGTGTACTGTGGAACCTGTCCTGGAATTCACTCTGTAGACCAGGCTGGCCTCAAACTCACAGAGATTGGCCTGCCTCTGCCTCCTGAGTGCTGGGATTAAAGGCTTGTGTCATTATTGCCTGGCTACTTTAAATATTTTGATTACAAACTTATTTGAATGTATTTTTTTTTTTAAAAAAATGTAAAGGTTTGTAGCTGGACAGTGGTGGTTCATGCCTTTAATCCCAGCACTCAGAAGGCACATGCAAGGGGATCTCTGAGTACAAGGCCAGCCTGGTCTACAGAGTGAGTTCCAGGATATCCAAGCCTATCCAGAGAAAAGCAAAATAAAATGAAAATGTTATAGGTTTATTGAGCTATGACTCATACACCATGAGGCTCATCCATTTCCTATATAAAATTTACTGACTTTCAGGGATGTTTATGTTGATGAGTCAGTGTCAGTATTATAAGTTGCAGCTATTATTGACTATAGTGATATGCTCTGACCCAGTTGGGTTCTCTGGAACTACTTTCCTATTCCTGCCATTTCAGGTTAATTGACAGTGTTTACTTGCTTCACTACTGACTTGTTTGGACTATCAGTCAAACACGAATGAGAGGTCAGCCGGATCAGCTCAGCTGAGAAAGTGTTAGTTTGAAGATACTGAGGTCTTTTGCCTAGTCTAGAGTTTTAGAGACTTTTATATACTGAGGTCTTTTGCCTAGTCTAGAGTTTTAGAGACTTTTATATACTGAGGTCTTTTGCTTAGTCTAGAGTTTTAGAGACTTTCATCATAATGAAGTTGTTATTGGGCGGGGGGGGGGGGGAAGAACAGGACACATACTCATAAGGAGACCACAGGTATGCAGGTAGAGGTAGGGAGCAGGAACAGAAATGGCAGCAAGGGTCTGCTACAATATGGTTAGCACTAGACTAGGAAATAAGTAGAAGAGATGATTTATAAGTGCAGAAAGATATTACATCAGGTGTACAAACAAGTATCCTGATTTCAAGAACAGTATGAGTAAAATCAAGAAAGTATATCAGGTGTTCCTGGAATGGCTGCCATTTTTCCAAGGATATAAGAAGATGATGGCAAGAGATGCAGCAGAAAAATGAGGTTTGGTTCAAAGAGTGAAGGGAACTGCGTATGCCTTAAGATGCTTCAACTCTATTCTTTCAGCATTTGAGACCAGACAGGCACAATCTAGCTGATGGGTTGAATTCTGTATACATGCCACTGTGACTGTCTTGCTATCAGAGTGCTAATGATGTGCTTTGATAGCAGGCCCCTGCTCTATTCTTTCTACAGTCTAGCTGACTAAGAGACTCCAGTAAACACACGTGGATTTGGCCCCTAAGTATCATATGCTCTTTAGTGTGTTGGCTTGGAGACAGATGTCTGTTTAGATTCTTAGAGCCCTTTTTCCTGATTCCCAGTTCATAGTGTAGATCTGTATAATGGACATATGCCATTAACATGAGTACATATGATAACATAACTTATTAAAAATCATAGTCACTCATTCTGAATTTATTCCAATGTAGGTGTTTGGAGTTGTGCCTCACACATTTCAGCAGTCCAGCAGTGTTTTATCTGCCGACTAAGCTGTCTACTTGATTGCATCATGGAAATGCTACTAATGAGACTTGTTGAGCACAGAGTGCACTTGAAGAGCCACAAGCCACTGTTTTCAAATGAAGGATTCCAGTTTTAAGCCTCAGTGCTTTTAAATCACCACTGAGATTTCCCCCTAAAATCAAAATGGCAAGCAGACGAAAGTCAACAACGCCTTGCATGGTCCTTGCCAGTGAGCAGGATCCAGACCTTGAGTTGATATCAGATTTGGATGAAGGTCCTCCTGTCCTCACACCTGTAGAGAATGCTAGAGCAGAGAGTGTTTCCAGTGACGAAGAAGTTCATGACCCTGTGGATTGTGACAATCAGCCAAGCAAAAAGGTAGAAGGGGGCTATGAATGTAAATACTGTACTTTTCAAACCCCAGATCTAAACATGTTTACTTTCCATGTAGATTCAGAACACCCCAATGTTGTATTGAATTCATCCTATGTTTGTGTTGAATGCAACTTTCTCACCAAAAGATATGATGCACTTTCTGAGCATAATCTGAAGTACCACCCAGGAGAAGAAAATTTCAAGCTGACTATGGTGAAGCGTAATAACCAGACAATCTTTGAACAAACCATAAATGATCTGACTTTCGATGGTAGTTTTGTTAAAGAGGAGAATACAGAACAAGGAGAGTCTGTAGATATTTCTTCTTCGGGAATCTCCATCAGTAAAACACCCATCATGAAGATGATGAAAAGTAAAGTAGAGAACAAACGGATCACAGTGCATCATAACTCAGCTGAGGACACTCCCGAAGAGAAAGAAAATGGAGTCAAAGTAAGCCGGGAAGAAAAGGTAGAGAGTGCGAGTTCTTCAGTCTCAGAATCCAGCACAAGCACTTCCGCCATCAGCAGAGTGCACCCCAGTCCTGCCAGTACAGTGGTGACGCCCTCTGCTGTCCTTCCTGGACTAGCACAGGTGATCTCGGCAGTGTCTGCACAGCAGAACTCCAACTTGGTCCCCAAAGTCTTAATCCCTGTCAATAGCATTCCTACCTACAATGCTGCATTGGATAACAACCCCCTTCTACTCAACACCTACAACAAATTCCCTTATCCCACAATGTCAGAAATTACAGTTCTTTCTGCTCAAGCAAAATACACAGAGGAACAGATCAAGATCTGGTTTTCAGCCCAGCGTTTAAAGCACGGTGTTAGTTGGACTCCTGAAGAAGTAGAGGAAGCAAGGAGGAAGCAATTCAATGGAACAGTACATACTGTACCTCAGACCATAACTGTTATTCCTACACACATTTCCACGGGGAATAATGGGCTACCGTCTATCTTACAGACGTGCCAAATAGTTGGTCAGCCAGGCCTGGTCCTCACTCAAGTAGCTGGAACAATACCTTGCCAGTATCCGCACCTATCGCCCTAACAGTGGCCGGGGTTCCAAATCAGACAAATGTACAAAAGAGTCAAGTGCCTGCTGCTCAGCCTGCTACAGAAACAAAAGCGGCCACAGCAGCAGTCCCATCGTTGCCAAGCGTCAGACCTGAGACTGCGCTAGTGAACCCAGATTCATTCGGTATTCGGGCCAAAAAGACTAAAGAACAGCTGGCAGAACTGAAGGTTAGCTATCTTAAAAACCAATTTCCGCATGACTCAGAAATCATCAGGCTTATGAAAATAACAGGTCTTACCAAAGGCGAGATTAAAAAATGGTTTAGTGACACAAGGTACAACCAGAGAAATTCCAAGAGTAATCAGTGCTTACATCTCAATAACGACTCCTCTGCCACTATCATTATAGACTCCAGTGAAGAAACCCCGGAACCCCCAGTTGCAGTTACTTCGCAGCAGAAACAGTCCTGGAATCCCTTTCCTGACTTTGCTCCCCAGAAGTTTAAAGAGAAAACGGCAGAGCAGCTTCGTGTCCTCCAGGCAAGTTTCCTTAACAGTTCTGTGCTTACAGATGAAGAATTAAATAGGTTAAGAGCGCAAACCAAACTTACTAGAAGAGAAATTGATGCTTGGTTTACAGAGAAGAATAAAACAAAAGCTTTAAAGGATGAAAAAAAAGAAGGAGATGAAAGTAATGTAGGTAGTTCCAAAGAAGAACCTGGAGAAAGTTCTCCTGGAGATGAAGCAGTTGCACCTAAGTCTGGAGGGACGGGCAAGATATGTAAGAAAACACCGGAACAGCTGCACATACTTAAAAGTGCGTTTGTCCGAACACAGTGGCCATCACCTGAAGAGTATGACAAGTTGGCCGAGGAAAGTGGGCTTGCCAGAACTGACATAGTTAGTTGGTTTGGGGACACCCGTTATGCTTGGAAGAATGGAAACTTGAAATGGTACTACTACTATCAAAGCTCCAATTCGAGTAGTCTGAATGGTCTGTCTTCCCTTAGGAAAAGGGGGCGAGGCAGACCCAAAGGACGGGGCAGAGGCCGACCACGTGGGAGGCCTAGAGGCGGCAAAAGAATGAACACATGGGACAGGGTACCATCGCTCATAAAGTTTAAAACTGGAACGGCAATACTTAAGGACTATTACCTGAAGCACAAATTTCTTAATGAGCAAGACCTTGATGAACTTGTCAACAGATCCCATATGGGCTACGAGCAGGTCAGAGAGTGGTTTGCAGAAAGACAGAGACGATCTGAGTTAGGTATAGAATTATTTGAGGAAAATGAGGAGGAGGATGAAGTCATTGATGAGCAGGAAGAAGATGAAGAAGAAACAGATGACAGTGACACTTGGGAACCCCCACGGCATGTGAAGAGGAAGCTTTCTAAATCGGATGACTGAAATGTAAGTGTTTAGCCTTTGTATTCATCATTGGTCACATACGTGTTTTAACAGCCACCTTATTGGTTCAGTTATCTTCATTTGTATGTGTAGTACACGTGTGTACTTGTGGGTGCATGCACATGCCTGTGAGTGTGCATGTGTGTGTGTGTACGTGTGCATGTGTGTGCGTGCATACATGTGTAGGTCAGAATCTTCCTCTTGCTCTCTATCATATATTTTTGGACAGCATCTCTCTCTGAACCTTGCAGCTCACTGATTTAGCAATACTATGTGGCCAGGGAATTCTAAAAGCTCCAAGGATCCACCCCTATCTCCATTTGCGCTAGGAATACAGTGTGTACTGACTGCTGTGCATGGCTCTTACAAAGGTTCTCGGATCTGAACTCAGGTTCTCGTGTCTTTATAAAAAATACTTTAGTGACCCAAGCCATCTACCTAGCCCTCATCTTCAGTTTACTAATTTTTTCCTAATAAAAGGACCAGGTGCCACTAGTCATGATATGTATTATTATTAGTGTAGCTTGATAATTGTACAGTCAGGGTTTCTCTGTATTGCTTTGGAACCTATCCTAGAACTAGCTCTGTAGATCAGGCTGGCCTCGAACTCACAGAGATCCACCTGCCTCTGCCTCCTGAGTGCTGGGATTAAAGGCGTGTGCCACCAATGCCCGGCTTACAGGCTTTAATGTCCCTTTAATTATTTATTTTTCATACAATTTGTCTTAGTTTGTTTTTAAGGAAAAAAAAAAGAAAAGAAATAGGAAACAAATACTGAAGATAATAAGAATGTTTCTTGTAATCTTCTCTCTATTAATGTTTTATTTTTGCCTCTATAAGGAAACATATCAAAATCAAAATGAAAAAGAAGGGCAGGTATACATACTGAAGAGAGAGACCACTAGCACACCGTTAGATGGGTTTCAGAGAACAAATGAAGGTAGATACTTTTTTCTCCATAGTTGTTCTCCCCAAAACTTTATCAGAGTTTAAGACTCATTACACACTCAGTATCTTTTTCTGTTAGACGACGAAGGCCTGTTGTAGGTGCTGTGCAAACTTATATGTGCTGAGGTGGCATTTGGTTTTGAGCAGCCACAATATACATTCTTTGTCACAGAGTTCAAAAGGCAGGTAACAGATCTGATATTTGGTGTGAATTAACTTAATCACCCAAAATGTCTAAATACTATGTTTGGTTTAAAAAAAATTAAATTTCCTGCTGGATGTGGCTCCATATTCCCATAATCCTAACATTAAGAAACTGAGTCAGGAGAAGTTCAAGTTTGTGGCTAGCCTAAGCTATATAGCAAGCAAGACCCTACTTTAAAGCAATATAAAATCTCTGTAGTAGTCTTAAAAGTGCAAACAAATATAGTTTAAGTTTGAAAAGTTTTGGCATGTTCCTTAATAGATTATAGATTAAATTAAATTATAAATATTAACTGGTTGCAAACGTTCCCTGAAGTTAGGACTTCAGTTCTCTCTATTTAAGTTTCCCATCCTGAGGCACTGAACTGGGGGATTGTTCATGCTAGGCCATCACTCTACAACTAAGCTACATTCTCAGCCAGGGACTCCAGTTCTTTATCCCTGTGGAAATTCAAGAACATCATTTTAATCTTTTCTGGTCTTTGTTTTGGGAGTATCCCAGCATAAAAGCACACTGTTTTGAAAACAACGTAGTTGTCATGAAATGCCCCTGTCTGTCTCTCTGTAGTTCAAATACCATCTTGTCAGAAATTGCTGTAGTGTTCTCAAACCCTGAGGGAGGAAACAGACTTTAGTTTGTGTGTGAGCATAGTTACTTATTTCCTCTCTATCCTACTTGCATGCTCTCTTACTCTGTACAGTATTTTCTTAATCCCTGAGTGGCATCTTCCTGGTTTGTTTATTTTAGCAATTATTTATAGAGATCTTAGTAAAGGCTACAGACTAGACTTACTCATTAACAGTTCTTTCTCCAGCTTTCTTCTCATTAACATTCTTAAGACAGAAAGTCAGGTGAACTAAAGCTCCACTTATTTACAGCAGCAGTATAAGTCTCTGGCCATAGAGTGTCATGTCATCATTTAAGTCACAAGACTCTCAAGAGGTCTCTAGCAATATCCTGAAATGCAGCCCTCTACTTCCTCAGGTCAGAAGACGTCAGGACATCAGGCTTTGTTCAGACCCAGATGCATAAAATATTTGTAGCAGGCTTTTCTTTTCTTTTTCTTTTTTCTTTCTTTCTTTCTTTCTTTTCTTTTCTTTTTTTTTTTTTTTTTTTGAATTGCTAAACACAAGATTGTGTACTCAGCCAATATTAAATCAGCACATTTGTTGCTATAGTGAATTGTTGTCACAGCTTTGCAGTCATTTTCTGGGGAGGTGGTAATTGTTTAAAAATAGGTAAAAATTCCCTACAGTTTACTTGAGTCTGACTTTCAATTATATGATAACATGGCTATGGATACTGATTATGGTCACAAAACTGACATGAAGTCTATTTTCAAAAGTTTATATTGTGTGTGATATATGTATCCTTTACTTTTAGAGTACAGAGAAAGCAGGACTGGGAAAGTGGGTAAGTGGGTAAGAGTGTTTACCTGAGTTCAGCCCCCTCACCCCCACCTGTGGGCATAGTATCTGGCCCTTGTAACCCCAGCACTCAGGAGAGAGGGTGGAGAAAGGTGAGTCCCTAGCACTCACTGGCTGGCCAGGGTGGCTGAGTCAGAGCTGTGCTGGCTTACTAAGAGCACCTGTCTCTGGAACCAAGGCAAAAGGCAGCTGAGGAACACCTGCCAATGGCTGGGTTTATGAACTATGTGCACCATCCCCCATGAACACGTACACAGCATCCATCCCATATGCACAATTTAAGAAATACTTGGAAAGCTAAGATTATAAAACATGTAATTAGCAGGTTATGATTCATTTAACAAAATAATTTTCACTTATCAAAGTATTCAGCATAGGTTTTCTCTTAAAAGTTTTTTTTTTAAATATGGTTCAGCTTTCAAAACTACTTACCAGAACATTCCCAAAATAGTCATTGCAACTAGGCAAAGCTACATAAGACAGGAACAAAAATAATTCCTCTTTTACAACCCAAAACTCATTGTTAATATGAACTTTGATAAATACATGAAGGAATATGATAAAAAGATACTGCAGAACATTATATAGGTCTCTTTTGCACATGCTAGTACAAGCAGAAATACTATAGGTCTTTATATTTTGTGTTACAAATACTAACGATAAGATATCTTCCCACTAATAATTTTATAAATGATTACAGAAAGGCGTATATCTAAAAGCAAATGTGGCACATGAAGAACATACACATAGTGTACACAAACTGACTGTGAGGTGTGTGTGCTAAGTGATCCCACTGTTAAAGAGAGTGCAGAATGTATTTATGGCTAACCGCATATTTTTATTCTAAAAGCAAAATTTAAAATATGGCTGTCTTTAAAGTTTCAGGGTTTTGTTTTTTGTTGTTGTTGTTTTTCTTTTATAGCTACTTAACATTCTGAAGGAGAATAAGTTCTTCAACTCAAGATGTTTGAATTACTGTGAATGGGCCCAATCCCTTGCTGACACTGAAATGCTTTGGGGCATACATACTCTCAAAACAGGATCCAATGTCCAAAAGAGACGGAGCTTGCTGTGCCAAAGTGAGACTGCTACAGTCGGAGAGTTCTGCGATGTAAACAGAACGCTGGTTCAGAAGGACTTGTAAAAAGTGACGTTTTAATACCCTACATTTTTATTCTGATAGGGTGGAAACTTTGTGAATCTTTGACTTTCTAAGGGGTTAATGACCACTAGGGCTTGTCCTCACTTTAGTCCAGCTTACCACTGTGTAAGGTAGGCGGTATCGCCTGTTTTCTTTGACATGTGATTCAGCTTACAGCTTTGAGTGACCAAACATTTTGCAGAGTAAAAGTTCTTAGAACTGGGAAGAGGGAGTGAACCAAACCCTAATTTACTTCTGTGTCTTATTTATCAGGTCCTGCCTACACCAAATTTAAGAGTTGCACGTGGGCTTACACAGTTTGCAGTGTAAAAGCAGCCTGTCATTACTGGACCCTCCACTAAACACTCATAACCCACTTTCCACTTGCAGTACTTATGTGACTGAAAACACTACCCCACAGGGAAAAGGAGCTTAATAGGGAGAAACTGTAAATACCCTTCCAAACATGGGAGACAGCCCCACAGTAAAACACATGCCATGCGTTCTTACAGGCGTGGAGATCAGGAGTGTTAGACAAGTGCAGATGAGATTTTGCAAGAATTATCTTTTCATGAAATTCTACCTTGTGTAACAATTTCAGTGAACAGAGAAAAAAATTCCAAACTGATCTTAAAGTTAAAAATTAGCTTTTATTTAAGAATCGGGGGTGTTAGCGGTGACTGCTGTGTCAGAAGACTCGTAGCTGAAGATTGGTGCTGCCACTATTCACATTAGACAGGGCCCTTTCAAAACATGCTTTCCTCACAGAACAAATTGTCGGTTTAATTGGATTTGGACTTAAAAAATTGTTTTTGAATGATCACACATAGTAGGTTTGGCCAGTTTGTTTTCTAATTTAATGAATAATGAATACTAAGCTCTTGGTTAAATGTTTGTCAGTTAATGAAACTGTTATGAAAAAGCCTTGAATATGCATGCTGCTTTCACTTTTATAAACTTTTATTTTTTAACTATAGCTTTATTAGCAATTCCCAAATGCTGCAATTTGCTGATCTCTTCACTCAGACAGCTGGCTTTGTGGGTGGCTTTTTTCATACTACTGTTAACTTTTTTTAAAAACAGAAGTGATGTAAAGACTGTAACAAATGAATGCACTAAGCTGTTTTTCTTTTACACGTCTAAAAACTTCTTAAATACCCTGTATTATAATGATTAAATCGCTCCCTTTTTAAAACCATTGCTAATGTGGTCTGAGTTTCATTTGACAGTAATTTCAATGTTCTCAAGATCCCATCCTTAAAGCATCAAGGATTGGAGATGAAGGATTTGGATATATTTACATTACGTTTTCTTTATGCTTTGCTAACTTTGTATAGCTGCAAGTAACTCCACGATTTCCCATCTCTCTAGCAGGCTGGATGAGAGTCTGCTGTGATGCTTGATAGCTTTTAAATACATTTATTTGTCAGCGCAAAAGAACCTTTCTTTCCTGGTTGACTGTGTCCTTGAATACAAAATAAAAGTTAGCAATAATAAGCAATTTGAGTGGTTCTTTTCTATTTTATTGAGCCAGCTTTTTTTAAAAAAATGGTAAGATATGCACAGAATTTGCTGTTATAATATTAAGTGTATAGTTTAATGGCACTAAATTATATCCATAGTGTTACACACTGTTGTTTCCAAAACCTTTTTGTCACCCCATACAGACTTTGTAACCATTAAGCAATCACTCCACATCCTCAGCTCCTGGTAACCTCTGATCTACTTCCTGGTCTATGAATTTGCCTACGCTTGATATTTCAAGTGAGTGGAAATACACAAGTTTTCCTTCAGTGTCTGGCTTGTTTCCCTTGGCATGATGTCCTCAAGGTCATCCATGTTGTGACATGTATCGTAACATTCCCTTCTGATGGCTGACTGTGGCTCATTGTGCACTGATTTTGGCTGCCCTCTCATCTGTTGATGGACACAGGTTATTTCTGCCTTCAGGTTGTTGCAAATAATGTCGCAATGAAATCTGGCCTGTGAGTCTGTTTGAATCCCATTTATAGTTCTTTTAGATATACATCTTGGAGTAGTACTCTGAGTTATATAATAAATTCTATGTTTATTTTTAAAGAAAAAATTGTAAGTCCATTCCAGACTGGTCTCTTACTCATTGCATTGCTCAGGCTGGAGTGGAACCCAAAATACTATTGTTTTCTCATTTTGAGTGGTGGGGTTACAGGAGTGTGCCATCACAACTAGCATTATTATATCTGCTTAACTTTCTGAGGGATCACCAACTCATTTACACAGTGCCACAGTGCTTTCCACAGCGTCCTAAGCATTTCTCATACCACCAGCAGTGTAGAAGGGGTCTTTCTCACATCTATTCCAATCCCTTTTAATTTCAGTCATTAAAAGTATTGTATAGTCAGCATGAAGCAGGGAACAAAATGATAGCCATCTTGAATGTGAAGTATATCGTTGTGGTTTTGATTGGTATTTCCATAGTGATGTCATCTTCTTGTGTGGTGATAAGCACTTGTCACCTTTTTTACCTTTTTCAGTAAATGTCTGTTCAAGTCCGTTGTCCAGTTTTTAATTAGGTTACCTTTTTGTAGTTGAGTTCTAGAAATGTTTTGTATAATGTGGCTGTTATAGTCTTATCTGAATAGTTTGCATATATAGCCAGTCCTCATTATTTGTAGATTCTGTATATACAAATGCTCCTACTCATTAAAATTGATTTGCAAACCCCTGATTTGTCTTGTGAGCACATGCCCAGCTGAGGTCAGCTAGGTGCCATTTGACTCTCCCATTGCAAAGAAAACTGAGGACAGCTAGGTGCCACTCATCTCTCCCAGTACAAAGAAACAGCCTTTTCACAATGTAATGTTGTGTTTAGTATTTTTGTGCTTTTTGCCAGTGATTTCGTTGTTTAAAATAGTTCTCAAATGTAATGCTGGAGTGCTGCCTAGTAAATGCAGTAAGTCTGCAGTGTGCCATGTGGAGAAATGCTTGCTAGCTAAGCTTATTTCAGCAGAAGCCACATTGCTGCTAGCCATTAATTCAGTGTTAATTAATCAATAGATAGTATGTTAACTAAGGTGTTTTTGAAAGAAATACAGACAACAAGTTTAGGAACTAATTGATGAAGATATGGAAGGGCCAAAAGCTTGTATTTTGCTTTTTTGTTTGTTTGTTTTGAAACACTGTCTCATGTAACCCAGGCTGGCTTTTAACTTACTGAGCAGTTAACCATGGCTTGAGTTCTTGATCCTCCTTGCCTCTACTCCTCAAGTCCTGGATTAAAGACATATACCCCATCTTCTTGGTCAGTATTTTCTGTCTTCCTTTCTTCCCTTTTCTTCCTTCCTTCCTTCCTTCCTTCCTTCCTTCCTTCCTTCCTCCCTCCCTCCCTCCCTCCCTCCCTTCCTTCCTTCCTTCCTTTCCCTTCCTTTTCTTTCTTTTTTGAGACAGGGTTTCTCTGTAGCTTTGGAGCCTGTCCTGGAACTCACTCTTTTCACCAGGCTGGCCTCAAACTCACAGAGACCTGCCTGCCTTTGCCTCCTGAGTACTGGGCTTAAAGGCGTGCACCACCACATCTTTTTGTTCAGCATTTTCTTTTAAGATTTATTAGTTTTTTATTATGTGCATGTATGTCTTTGTGTGGGTGTGTACAAGGCATTAGGTTTCCTAGAGCTAGAGTTACAGGCAGTTGTGGGTACTGGGAACTGAACTCAGGTTGTGTAAAAGCAGTACATTCTCTGAACTGCTGGGACATCTCTCTAACCCCTGTTCAGGAATTCTAATGTACCCTTGTGAAGCATAACCATTAAGTAAATTGATAACTGGTTGTGATTTTCCCATTGTGTTGATTGTATTTTAATTTTATTGGTAAAACACAATTTTAAATTTTTATGACTTTCATTTTCAATTTCTTATTATTGCTTTTCCTTTTAGCATCCCATTTAAAAAGCCACATATTTTTTTCTTAAGTGTCTTGAGATATTGGGATCTTGTGTTTCGGTCCTTAAACCATTTCTAGTTAGTTTTGTGTATGGTATGGAGTAAGATGTCCAACTCTATTATTTTTTCTTTAAAACTTACAGCATTTAAAGCAATGCCTTTTATTATGATACTCATTTATTTATCAAGTGCACACATTGGTGCATGTTTAGAAGTCAGAGGACATCTTTCAGGAGTCAGTTCTCTCCTTCTACTCTGTGGGTCCCAAAAGTTGAACTCCAGTCATCAGACTTGGCAGCAAGCCCCTTTTCCAGTTGAACCAGCCTGCTGGCCCCATTATGACATTTCCATATGTACGCATCATTATACCTTGCTTGTATTTGTCTATCACTTGTACTTCTTCCCTACTTCCTACCAGACCTCTCCCCACACACAATCCCTTTCTCTTTTCATCACACGCACACGCGCACGCACACACACTAATGTACACTTCACGTCAGAAACAATACATGCTATTTTGTGGTTCCCCCTTACCCTCCTTCCTCTCTTTTCTCTCCCTTTAGATCTCCTCCCTCCCTCTTGAGCCCCTCCCCACACTTCATGCCACATATGTATTTGTGTTTAAAGCTAGATCCCACTTATGAGAGGAACATACAATATTGGTTTGAGCCTAGCTTGTTTTGCGTAACATGAAAATCCCCAGTTCTATTTTCCTGGAAATAACAGAATTTTATTCTTCTCTACAGATGACTGAGACTCAGCTATGTAGATATGTTACATTTTTAATAGTTCATCTGTTGATGGCCATCCAGGCTGGCTGCACAACTTGGCTGTTGTGAATGGAACAGCAATAAACACTGGTGTTCTGTGGTATGTTGACTTAAGTTTCCCTGGGTATATACCCAGGAATGGCTTATGGTAGTTAATATATTTTTAAAAACCAATCCCTCTCTCTCTATCCCTACTCTCTGTGTGTGTGTGTGTGTGTGTGTGTGTGTGAGTGTATGTGTGTCTGAGTGTGTGTGTGGTATGTGTGTGAGTGTTGTCTGTGTGTGAGTGAGATGTGTTGTGTGAGTGTGTGCTGTAAGTGTAGTGCGTGTGAGTGGGGTGTGTGTATGTGTCTGAGTGTGTGTGGTGTGTGTGTAGTGTCTGTGAGTGTAGTGTGTGTGAATGTGTGTGTGGTATGTGTGTGAGTGATATTTGTGTGAGTGGTGTGTGTGTGCTGTGTGTGTGTGCTGTGTATGTGTGCTGTGTGTGTGTGCTGTGTGTGTGTGTGTGTGTGCAGGTGTGCATGTGCCATGACATGCATGTGTAGAGGAAAGGGGACATCTCTTAGGAGTTGTTCTTCGCTGCCACTTAGTGGAATGCAGGGGACAAGCTTGGGTTGCCAGTCCCATGCACAGCAAGCACTCCTACCCACTGAGCCTTGTAGCAGCTCAGTTGTTTAAGGGACTTCCCTAATGCTATGTTCCCACCAGCACATAAAGGGACTATCCCCACATCTTCACAAGCACATGCTGTTTTCTCTCTCTTCCAAAAAATGATTTACTTGCCTGTGCACCTCCCTCAGGCATCTTCCTCCATTGTCCTCCCCTTTTCTGACCTGGGTATGGGTGACTGGACTTGGTGGCCCACACATTCAGTGTCAGTACTCAGGAGCAGAGGCAGCAGATCTTTGAGCTGGAGGCCAGCCTGGGGTGTAACTCGAGTTCCAGGAGTGAAAACAACACAAGATAAATAAACAAATACGGGTGTGTTTTGCCTGTCTATGTAAATGCCCCATGTTAATTCCTGCTGTTCCTGGAGGCCAATAGAGAACTGGAATTATAGACACTTGTCTTCTGTCATATGGTTGCTGGGTATCAAACCCAGGTCCCCTGTGAGAGTATCGAGAGGTCCTAACCACTGACCCATTTCTCCAGCCTGTTGTTTTATTGGTAATAGCTTTTTCAGCAGAGATGAAAGGGAATCTCATTATATTTGTCTGATGAGTAAAGATGCTGTTTGCTTAGTTTTTGGAATCTTTATAGATTCTAGGTATTAATTTACTGTCGGATGTATGGTTTGCAAAGTTTTTCTCCCATTCTGTAGGCTGTCTCTGGGGATTGAACTCAGGTCAGGTTTGGTAGCAAATGCCTGTATTCGTGTATTCTTGCTAGCCCTGTACCTTATCTTTTGAGAAGGGTCTCTCTGAACCTCAAGTTCAATAATTGGTCTAGATTGGCTGGCCAGCAAGCCCTGGAATCCTAGTTCTGCCTCCCCAGTGCTATGATACCAGGCTAG